TTTTTTTTTAAAAATAAAAATTTTTTATAATAAAAATATTTTAAATTTTTTCCATGTCCTAAAAAAAAATTCATAAAAATTATTAAATAATTATTTTTATTTTTATTGTAAATTATTTTACTAAAATCCATGCTCGAAATATTTAAGTATTTTATTTATTTATTTTTATTTTTTTTTATTTATTTATTTATTTATTTATTTATTTATTTACGGATGGCGAGTGGGAAGGGCCAGGATAGCTTTTCAGGTCGGGAACGCACAACGTGCTTCTCACGGCGAGGCTACCAAGTCGTCACTTATGAAAAATTCACCGCAGCGAATAGTCAAGCACAAAGAGGACCCCCTCGTGAGGCTTCGAGAAGCCACTCGTATGAGAAAAGTAGCGCCGCAAACATCGCGACGCCAGCGCCCCAGGAGCCGGGCGGTGAGTACGGGAAACAGCACCGGCAACCCGGTATAATTCAAATTAAATTTAAGATCCGCGAACTGAGTGACTTGCCATTGCGGGACGAGGCACTGACAGGAGCATGGAATAGGCTAGTTTTCGATGATGAAGAACACAGCGAAACCAAGTGAGACAGTCTCACACTTGTAGGTGGGACATTTTGTCTCACGTTCACAAGTGTGAGCCACGTTTGTCTCACGCTTGCAAGTGTGGGACAACGAAGTCTCACACTTGCAAGTGTGAGACACAGCTTGTCCCACACTTGCTGTCTATACTAGATCTGTGGTTCAACGCCAAGGGTCCCATGCCTGCAAGTGTAGGACGAAACACTTGCAAACGTGAGACAAAATTTCCCACACCTACAAGTGTGAGACTGTCTTGGATTGGCAGTGCACAGGCCCAACCAAAGTGGGTGCAACCATTAACACGAACCGAGCGTTTGAGACCAGTGTGCTGATAACCTGCTGCGATCTTCGTGCCGAAGTGCACGATATTCGTCTCTATCGACTGTCTCCAGCTACCGTCTCCAGCTACTTCATGTACATTTGCACAACCACGACACACCAACCACGAAATTGGCCAGGGCCTGTGCCTCGCCGAACCAAGGACACACCATACGCAGTCCCTCCCACCCTTCCTATGTGCCGTGGCCCAGGCTATCACCACCCTTAAGGGGGCAATACACTGAAAATGGCCGAAAACTGACTTGTGCGATTGCTTCTATACGCGTTGTTGAGCGTTGTTCAAACTTTTCATGTGTCAAGACCTTACAAAATGAAGCATTTTAAGCCCAGAATAGCGTCGATCGGACGTCAGGGAGCGCAGCAGCGCCCAATCAAATTTTCGTCAAAAATCGAACTGGCGGGCGTCCCTCAGTCCGCAAAAGAAAAGATATCTCGACCCCGTTTGCCCCAAAAATATGGGTTTAATTAAAAGCAGCTATAGCGCAAACTAGGATTATGAACATCGAACAATCAAAAGTACAAAATTTTATAAAAAAAAACCTGTTTTCATCATTTTGCAAAATCCTCAAAAAGTGTTTTTGGATGAAATTTTGTACTTCCGGTTGCTCGATGTTCATAATCCTAGTTTGCGCTATAGCCGCTTCAATTTCCTACATTTTGGCGCAAACGGGGTCGAGATATCTTAATTTTTGCGGACTGAGGGACGCCCGCCAGTTCGACTTTTGACGAAAATTTGTTTGGGCGCTGCTCCGCTCCCTGACGTCCGATCGATGCCTTCTGGGCTTAAAATGTTCTTTTTGTAAGGTCTTGACACAGGGAAAATTTTGAACAACGCTCAACAACGCGTTTTGAAAGCAATCGCACAAGTCAGTTTTTGGCCATATTCAGTGTATTGCCCCCTTAACAGAAAAAATCAATTGCACTGTCCCAAAAGTATCTGAGTGCTGGTGTAGCAGCATTCGGTAGGCTGTAAGGAATTTAGAGGCGGTCGCTTCCAAGCGCTTACAGGACCCGAAAGAGCCGCAGTCGTGACCGACCCAAGTCCGCGCACTTACTGTTCATGTAATTTTACTGTCCGTTTCGATTCGTTTGCGTCCGTGTACGTGCGCCGCAGGTCGAGGGGGTAACCACATTGGATGTTTGAGGACACAAGATTTCGTCGAATTTCGCAAGATTTTAACCGCTATTCCGCCCAAAAAAAGCTTGTTTTGGGCCTTTGGGGGGCAAGATTTCAGATTTCCCAGAGATTTCTAGCGCTAAAGGGACACAAGATTTCTAGAGAGGTTGCCCCCTCGCCGCAGGTGCAGTCGCGCCATGACCATCTGCAGCCTCGGCCAGTCACTCGACCGCAGACAGGAGCAGGCGGTGGAGCATGCCTGCAAGCACGCTCTACCTAGCGCATGCCTGCCAAGCATGCACTTACTAGTGCATGAATGCCATGAAAACACCTAAAGTAAGCTTTGATCCTATTTTTTGGCAAAGGGATAAAAAAAACCCTGCCCCCATCAAAAAACTTTTTACGGGGAAAAAATGTATGCCTAACACGGGCAGGGTTTTTTAACCAATCAAAAACAATTTTGGAATTTTTTATCAGGTTTCAATTTTTACTTTCAAAGTACAAAAATTTTTTTAAAATTACAATGGAACGGCAAAAACGGGGCGGGGTCCACCCTTGTTGGTTTGTACAATTCCGTTTTTAATTTTAAAACCCTTTTTTAACTTATTGTACAGTTTTGGACATTTGGGGAAAACTTTTCAAACTTTTTCTGGCATTTTGTAGTTAGTGCATGCTTGGCAGGCATGCACTAGCCAGCGTGCTTGCAGGCATGCTCCAAGTAGAGCAAAAATTTTGGGTTTTAAACCCGGGGCCCCCTTTCCCCTTTTTCATTTGTAGGGGTGGACCTTGGGAAGCGTGGGGCGGGTTAAACTTCCCACCGCCGGGGCCCTCGCCGACACATTTTCCGGCATTTAAAGTTTTAAAAACCCGGGCGGGCCCACAGCGGCGGCACCCCGCAGGGGCGTGGGTTCAAACCCCCCGGGCCCCCCTTTTGCAAACCCCCCAACGGCCCCGTAACCACTTCCCCAAACCCCGGGGGTTGGGGCAATCCCACCCCCCTTCAAACCCCCCACCCGTATAACTCCATGCGTCAAGCATGCGTTTGTAAGTGTGTACTTGCAGGCATGCATTTGTAAGTGTGTACTTGGCCAAGCATGCGTTTGTGAGTACTTGCAAGCATGCATTTGAAAGTGTGTACTTAGTAGACAGTTAGGTTTGTAGTGTGGTTTCCACATATTTGATTCACCCACACTGGTGAAACTAAAGCGTAACTTTATGCTTGAGTCAAGCATAAAGTTGCGCTTAAAGAAGTTAGGCTTGAAATGAAGCATTGACTACAATGTCCCCCGTATTTAGATAAGAAAAATCTTAGGCGGATACGCTTTATTTCGAGAGTAAACCGATGACGCTTGAAACCAGAAGGTAATACCACGCTTTAGTTTTACCAGCGCAGGCACCCCGGTGGCGACCGCGGAGCTGCACGACCGGGGCATACATGCAGGCCGTCCAGCGCCTGCAGCAGGCGACCTTCCAGGCCGCTCCGCCCACCGGCCAGTACTTGCAGGAGTTGCGCGGCGGTTGGACGGCGCAGCAGAGCAGGGCGCGCACCAACATCCCCTGGTCGACGGGCACGTCGCGGTCCGGGTCGGGCAGCAGCATGTGTCGGTGGGCGGCGCGGGCCGAGGCCCCCGCGAGTCACGCGCGCTGGGGGCGACGGCGCACGTCGATATGCCGCTCAGCATCCGGTCAGTGTCTGGAGCGAGCGCCAGTGTTCGTACTTTTTGGCCAAATCGATTGGCTGAGGCAACTGGGCCGCCTGTAGGCATGTAATATGCCGACTGCTCTGCAACCTCAAGTGACTGCCGAGCACGCACCGCATAGAGTCAACCCAAGGCATGCACTTCATGGTGCATGACTGCAGGTACACTCTAAATATGGGGTGCCTAGAAACTGGGTGCCTTTGCCGCCCGCCCCACTTTTTAGGGTGCCAAATGTCGCCCAGTTTCTGGGCACCTTTGTCGCCTAGTCCCGGGTGGACAAACCAGGAACCTCCCTTTCCCCCAGGCTCAGCAGCGACCAAGGTGCCAAAGGTGACCACAATTTAGGCACCTTAGTCGCCCAGGAACTAGACACCTGTGCATGCACTACCATGGGAGACGGCCGGTTACTGTATCATTTGTCCACTGGGCAAAAAAGGTGCCCAAAAACTGGGCGACGTTTGGCACCCTAAACCGCCCTAAACAGTGCCCTAGACTCCGCCCAAAGCCCGGGCCCCCGGCCCCGGGCCCGGCCCGGCCCGCCCCCAAACCCCGGGCTCAGACCTAGCCCGACCCGACCAGGCCAACCCCCGGAAAGAGTCCCCCTAGCCCGGGCCACTTAAGACGGTGTAAGAGTGCGCCACCCGAAGAGTGGTCTCCCTACACCGTGAGTCTGGTAGAACCCCCAATCCGGAAGCTTACGGTTTAGGGAACCACTCTTCGGTGGCGCACCTTCACTGGTAAAAAAAGTAGGGAAAAAAAGTACGGAAC